CCTGTTCGGCTTAGTTAGCAGTTCAATGAAATAGAACAGTCCTTCAATTAAAATCAAATGATGCGTGCGTTTAATTCTTCCCTTCTCTTACCGGGTAATGATAGGGTTTGAGCACAGGCAAGAGGATAAAAAAAAAAATAAAAAAAAATCTTTCAACTGCTGTTATCTGTGATGAATCAAAATGCGATGTCCTAAAAATACATATGGATAACTAAAGTTCTTAATTAATGGCTCCTAACTTAGCAGTTGGTCTGTTATCTGTTTGTCCTTTTTTTTTTTTTTTTTTTTTCCCCTCTTGCTGGCTTAGCTCCGCTTACTCTAATTTGGGGATTTCTCCTTTGCTTCTCTCTGGTTCGTTCTGGTTTTGCCTCTTTCCTGCTGCCCCCATCTCCCTGGACGAGGGGCGGCTTCGGGATGGGGACCAGTGCCCACCCTATCGAGATGCTATGCTACAGCAGAGAGATGGGTTTCACTAAAAGTGGGAATAAAACCCTCCCGGCTCATACCAGAACAGGTGACTTCAGTCTCCAGAGGTGGCCGATAACTTTTCCTGGATAAAACAAGTATTTCCATTGATTTTTATTTTCCCCCTCCCCCTGTGAACGCTTTACTAGCTTTGCTAGAGGGTCATCCAGAAAAGTGGAGTTTTGCTCCAGCTTCCCTCATTTCTTTAGCTGATCCCTGTCCCCAGGCCTCTCTGAATTACCTGGCCGCTATTCCTGGTGTTTGAGGCTAATTTTTTTTTTTTTAATCTCAGCATCTCCTGGCTTTGAAAGCATTCATCTCCAGCAGGATGAGCAGGCAGAGCAAGCACTGGGAGGAGGATGCCCAGCGGGCCCGCGGGTTTTTCATGTCTTGCTGAATTTTTTGCGTGTTGTCGCAGCTTCTTGAACATCCACTGCTCTGCGGGGGTGGAGAGGCACGTTTCCGAGCCGCCTCTCGACGCTCGTGTCTATTAAAGCCATTTTTTCTTGGTCCCTGTAAATTGCCTGTGAAAAACACGTCTTGAGTAATCTCCGCGTCTCGGACATTTTCTGCATGAAATATTCAAGAGCCCGATACTGTTCGCTTTGATGGGTGGTGAGTTATTACCAGCGCTGGGCTTGGACTTCTCATAGGCATGCGGTGATGGGAACAATTAGCACCCAATTAGGCACCTTGCATCTGTTCTGGGGTTTTTTCTGCCTAAAAAATTGCAATGAACCAACAAGCGGGGGGAAAAAAAAAAACCCCAACCCCAAAACAACAAACAATCAAAAATCCTCTGCTGTGTAGGTAACTTTTAATGTCAGAGCGAGGGTGTCTTGCTGGTGTTTTTTTTTTTCATTCCTGCGTGATAACAAGGCTGGGAGATGAGTTAGCAGCCAGGAGCTGCTGGGATGGGCCCTGCGGTGATGCACAACGTCCCCTAAATGGGGGGGGTATGGGGACTGGGGGTATATGTGCACCGCAGGGACCCGGGTCCCCGGGAGGTGTCTGGAGTTGGGCAGGGAGGGAGAGAGAGGTATTAAAGCCCCCGGATCCCTGGGGTTGCCTCCCCCTGGTCTTGTCCTGGTCTTTTCATCTGGAAATTGAATGTATTTTCTAGATGCACCAAAGAGAAACAGCTTGGAAACCCTTCACTTTGAAATCCCGCACTTGGAGCGAGTTTGGGATATGATATATGTCTATATATAGTTAATTTTTGTTAATCCCTTTTTCACTCTTTTTTTTTTTTTTTTTGGCCTTGGAGGCCTTTCAGGAAAATAACGTGCTGGCCGAGCTGCAGCTCCCCGTGCCGTCATCCTCCTTCCCCATCCCTGACCCAGCTGCCAGCCCAGGTCTGGCGTTTGCAGGCAGAGAGCGGCCAGACCCACCTGCTGCCTCGAGCTGCCAGCCAGCAATTTGGCACCGATTCCTCCTGTTTCTGCTAAGATGGACTTGGCTCCCTCTCCTTTTTTTTTTTTTTTTTTTTTTTTTGCCCGGGCACTTAAAAGCAGAAATCTGAGAAGCTATGGGCCGACTCCAGTAAGGTTTATTCCTGGCGGTTAGAGTCTCATCCAGTGACTGCAAACTCATTGTATACAAC